TTAATTTAATTTTCGAAGAGATCTTATTTACAACACTTGTTAAATTAAATTGTGATGATTCAAGGTGAAAGTTAGTTCAGATCTAACTATTTTTTTTTCGAGCCGATCTCAAGTCAAACTTCACTAATAACCCTATAAGATTATAATAAGATTATAAGAACACTCCCAACAATACTATAATGCTTAAGTTAGTTAGTAAGATAGGTTAGATATATTCCAAGTTGAGATTGGGTATGTTAGGATGTACTTATGAAACCTCTTTTGATAGCAAGTTTCTAAAGCTATTACCTCCGGATGGCATGCCACTCAAGGGAATGTAATATGTTGATCTTAGATATAACTATTATCAATCTCATTGAGTTCGAGATGGAGTAACATTTTAACACATGGTATAGATCAAAGGATGGAGATAATTAGTTAGTAAGACAAAACGAAGCTATTGAGCTATATCATGCTTGTTATGTGGCACCGAAGTATCGTGGTGCTGAGGTATCAATCGTGTGTTAATCACTTTACAACGATTCATCAATCATAAGATATCAATGTGTTGCATCGACGGATCAACTATACGATATCAAGGTGTCGATCACTTTGTGCCAATGTATCAACCACTATGTCAATCCACGTAATTCTCACGTATCAATAATATGATGCTGAAATTTTCGTTATATTATTTCACCCACCATAACATAGTCTATTAAGTATTTTCTCCTCTCAAGAAAATTTCCTATTTTGTATATTTCTCTCTTATAAAAAAATGCATTATGCGGCCCAAATCTTGACTTTAGTTCAGACCATAGTCATCTACATTTTGTTACATTATAATGATACTTGTATATATCTTCATTTGTTTGCCCAAGGCTCAAGTTCTGCAATTGTAATAGCAGTGACATGGCACAAGTTTGACTTGGCAAAGACAGAGTGCTCAAAAGAGAGGTAGCTTAGCCGCCAGCTCAACGCCAGAACCAATCCTCACACCCTCCTCTCTTTCCGCTCCCTTTCTTAGCTTGTCTTCCCTCGCCCTCCTCTCCCATCCCACAATACCCGACACCTCCCCATTCTTCGCTATTCTTTCTTCCCGCCTCTTTCTCCACACCTTCCGATTGCACCATTGCCGGTGTAGCCTGCCATGCCTCCGGCACACACCTTCCCTCCCTCTCCCTGCACGAAGTGACCTGAGCCGTCGCCGCGGGATGGGCCGCCACCCCTCCCTCTCCTCCATCTCACGGTCCGACACCGATCCGGATCCCGACTGCCATGCCGAGCTCGACTGCCCCTTCGGAAGGCTCGACACCCTCGGGCGGTCCGACCTCCGCGAGACGGCGTACGAGATCTTCTTCATGTCGTGCCGCTCGTCCCCCGGCTTCGGCGGCGGCAGCAGGAGCCCCCTGAACTACCTCCCGTCGTCGTCGTCGTCGCCGTGGTCGGCGGCGGCTTTTGACGGGGGCAGCGGTAGCGGAGGGGAGGGATCTCCGAAGTGGGGGCCGGGGATGTCGGTGCCGAATAGTCGGATCAAGAAGGTGCTGGGGCTGAAGGCGAGGCGGTCGTCGCCGATGAGGACGGGAATGACCCGCGGGCTTAACTCGCCGGGGAAGCTGAAGAGGCCGATGACCTCCGCGGAGATCATGCGGCTGCAGATGCGCGTGACGGAGCATAGCGACCACCGGTTGAGGAAGACCCTCATGAGAACCCTCGTCGGACAGGTGATACATTAGTATGTCCTTCCTGTCGCTGCAGTATTTATTTATTTATTTATTTTTTGTCTCCGGGATATTGAACTTAGAAATTATTATATATTATTAAGATTTAAAGTATTATTTTTAAGGAAGATTTTAATTTTTTTTATCTTTTAAATAAATTTGTTAGATTAAATTTTAGAGATAAGCATATCTTCAATTTAAATTATTACCTTACACCTATTGATTTATCCGAGTGTTTAGGCCTATAGAGTAAGGAGTAGTTCAATATATAGTTTTTCTTTTTTTTATTTTTGTTTTATTTTTTTCTATTTAGTTTGATCTTAAGCTAGTAATACCTTTTTATTAGAAAGAGTTGTACTTAAATATGATCTCTCCCTTTCTTTACATGATACCATAGCCATAAGAATGGTAATCTATATCTCAAAAAAAATTAGTGAATTAAGATAACCCTTTTAACTATGGATTATAATGGTTAGGTTGATAGGTTTAGTATTGAACTTCTGTCTAACTATAAGAACTAAAAAATTTATTTGAAGTTCTATCTTGATCTATGAGATATGATTGGTGGTAATTACCCTATGTTAGCTTGTGTTAAAAGAGATTAATCTCTTTGAATACATTGTTGGTTACAAATCAGCTTAAAAGCTTTGAATGCATTACTAAAAAAATAATAATAATGTAGCTTAAAAATGATTTGACAAATCGTGTTCAAAGTGATCTCTCAATTTTTTAATACATTTTAAAGATTACAAATTTATATTAAAAAATATTACTATTATATCTAGATGAGTCTATTTGAATGAAATATTATATTATTTATAATTTTTAAAAATAATATATTCTTTATATTTTATTTATTCAATGATTTTTCAATCACATTTCTTAGTAGAATTAAAAAATCTACTAAGAGGCAATTAGAACTCACAAATATATTCAGCAATAAAAATGGATCTAAAAGAAAATTAAGAGGCATCAAATGTGTTCTCAATTGGATATTTCCATATGTTGGAACTAAATAAGGTTGTTTCATATTTCCATAACTTGGAATTTTTAGGCCCTTCATCGAACAAGGAATTTTGTTGATTGAATGCTTCGAACGTATGCATTGTGTGCCGACAGATGGGCAGAAGAGCAGAGACGATCATCCTTCCTCTGGAGCTCCTCCGCCAATTGAAGCCCTCCGAATTCAATGACGCACGAGAATACCACCAGTGGCAGAGGCGCCAGCTCAAGATCCTTGAAGCAACCCTTCTCCTATACCCTTCGCTCCCTGTGGACCGGCAAAACCCGGCGGCCATCCGTCTGCTGGAGATCGTCCGAGCCGGTGAGATCAAACCCATCGATACCAGCAAGAACTCGGAAGTCATGCGCAACCTCTGCAACTCCGTCGTCGCCTTGGCTTGGCGAAGCTCCGGTGGTGCCTCCACCGAAGTATGCCACTGGGCCGATGGCTACCCTCTGAACGTTCATCTCTACCTCGCTCTCCTGCACTCCATCTTCGACCTGCGTGAGGAGACCGTGGTGTTGGACGAGGTCGACGAGCTCGTCGAATTGATGAAGAAGACGTGGCCTTCCTTAGGGATCAACCGGATGATCCACAACGTCTGCTTCGCGTGGCTGTTCTTCAAACACTACATCGAAACAGGACAAAACGAACCGGACCTGATGTGCGCAGCGGTGACGATGCTGACCGAGGTCGCCAACGACGCGAAGAAGCCGGATCTCGAAGCTAACTACGTGAGGCTCGTGTCTGCTGTACTGGTTGTGATGCAGCGTTGGGCAGAGAGGAGGGTGTTAGACTATCATGAGTGCTTCGACAAGGAAACCACAGCAAGCATGGAGCACATACTCTCTCTGGCAGTCTCCACAGCGAAGATCATCGGCGAGGATCTATGCAACAGTGGGATGGTCTTCGTCATCCATGACGGCGAGGTGGGGATGAATCCATCCGGAAACAGGGTAGATTACTACATAAAGTCTTCCATAAGGAGTGCATTCACCAAGGTGCCAATTCTCTTTCTTCTAGCTGCATTGATATACGAGATCATCGATTATATATCTCAATTTTCATTACAAGCCAATTCAAATTGAAATATGTTCAGATACTAGAGAATGGAGCTGCACTTGATGAGAGTATGACGATCAAAGCAGATGATGAACCAAGAAACATTCTGGTCCAACTTGCAAGTGATACGGAGGAACTGGCCGTGTTTGAAAAGGACGCATTTAGCCCAGTGTTGAGGAAATGGCACCCGCTCCCTACTGCGGCCGCGATGGTGGCGATCCACGGCTGCTTTGGGATTGTGCTGAAGCAGTACTTGGCCAAGGTCACAAGCCTCACAACTGAGTTAGTCCGAGTCCTGCAATCTGCCGGAAAGTTGGAGAAGCTCCTAGTGCAGATGCTCATGGAGGACTCCGCCGACTGCGAAGATGGTGGGAAGGAAATAGTGAGGCAGATGGTGGCTTACGAGGTGGATTCCGTCGTCGCAAACCTCCTCAAGAATTGGATGGAAGAAAGGTTGAGTATGGGAAAGGAATTCCTTAACAGAGCAAAAGAAACTGAGGTTTGTTTCACATCGGCTTTTCTTCAGAGCTTCATTAGGTACTGATGGATTTCGTTGAACTTCCAGACCTGGATGCCGAGATCCAAGAAGGAGCCCTATGCCCAGTCGGCTGTGGATCTGATGAAGCTGGCCAAGGTGACCGTGGATGAGTTCTTTGAGATCCCACTGGGAGTCAGAGATGCCATGGTTCAAGACCTTGCTGATGGCTTGCAGACCATCTTTCAGGAGTACACTGAGTTTATTGGTGCATGCGGTATGGAAGCCTTTCGATATCTGCTCATAATCTGTCCATCAGATTAAGACTCGGACTCGAATGTTCCTCTTCACAGGGATCAAACAACGCTACGTGCCCAGCCTTCCCCCACTGACAAGATGCAACCAGGACTCCAAGTTCATCAAGCTGTGGAAGAAGACGGCCTGCAGAGCCGGAGCCGGGCTCTTGCACGGAGAGGACGGCCCGATTAACACGGGCCACCAACGGCCATCCACAAGCCGAGGCACGCAGCGGCTCTACATCCGCCTCAACACCCTTCACTTCCTCATCGCCAATCTGCATGCCCTCGACAAGTCCCTCGCCTTCTTCTCCCGCGGCAGCCCGTCCCCCTCCCCGCGCCTCGGGAGCTCCAACCGCCGCTTCGGCGCCACGTCCAGCCACTTCGACCCCGTCCTCTCCTCGGCGCAGTACGCCATCCAGTACGTGTCGGAGGTGGCGGCCTACCGCCTCATCTTCCTCGACTCGCGTCACTTGTTCTACGACGGGCTTTACGTCCACAGCGTCGCCGAAGCGAGGATGCGCCCAGGGCTCCGCATCCTGAAGCACAACCTGACGCTGCTGGCGTCGATCGTCACTGAACGGGCGCATCCGCTGGTGTTGAAGGAGGTGATGAAGGCGTCGTTCGAGGCGTTCCTGATGGTGTTGCTGGCCGGGGGGAGCGAGCGGGCGTTCGCGCGGGAGGACTCCGAGACGGTGCTGGACGACTTCCGCGGCCTGAAGCGGGTGTTCAGCACCTGCGGGGAGGAGGAGGTGGGCCGGGAGGGGGAGGTGGTAGAAGGGATCGTGACGCTCATGGGGCTGCCGACGGAGAGGCTGATCGAAGACTTCAGCATCGCGGCGTGCGAGGCTAGCGGGGTCAGCGTCACTGGTGTCAGCGGGGATGGAGTGCCGGTGGGTACGAAGGTGCCTATGCCGCCGACAACAGGGAGGTGGAACCGGGCGGATCCTAACACTGTGTTGAGGGTGCTGTGCCACAGGGACGACGAGCTGGCCAACCAGTTTCTGAAGCGGACGTTTGATCTGGCCAAGAGGCGGTGAAGGTTCGGCAACGACGGACAACAACGAGAGTCAGTCAGAGGAAAGAGGAGAACAAGCAAACAGTCAAAAGTGTGTAGGTACAAAACATATTATGCATCCACTATATATATATATATATATGAAGAGTGGATATACTTTTTTGTGATATGTGCAATGGATATAAATAATATTGTCATATACTCATTCACTCCCCCGAAAAGATTGGTCGCGATTTCCATAAATATGCCCTTTAGTTGAGTCCGGTCAACCTCCCCCATAATGGGTATGCCCAGTAAGCTCCTTCCCTTAAATTCTCTTTTAGCACTAGACTCATTGACAACATACCAACTACAACTTGAAGGGCAGTAAATATTGATCAAATCTCCCTTTCGCTCCTCATCCCAACCATCCTCTCATCTCTTGTCCCGTCATCTTCTCTACACACCCTCTCCTTGAACCCTTGCTCTTTCCAAATCTACCTCTCCTCTTTTTATCTTTCATCTTTTTCTATCTAACCCATTTAACCTTCTTTCGTCCTCTAATATCTTATATGATTTGATGGATGGATTTTTCTTCTTGACTTTAGCGCCTATACAAGAGTCTTCTTTCACTATTGTTGCCACCGCCAAGAAGGACTACTTCAGCTATCTATCTTATTCAAAGGGTGGTGAAGGAGAAAGATACAGATTGTACTATGGAGGAGGAATGTGCCTTCCTACAAGACAAGGATGACCTTAAATGGTAAAAAATCTTATAGGAATAATACCCCAAATGTTGAAAGCCTACTTTTTTTCACTCTCAAACATAAATTCAAAAAGAAAAATTTAGAATCTAAACCTTAAGCTACTAACTTCCATAAACAACCCAAATACCAATAATCAAACAACTTAAAATGCTTTATTATGGTATCCATAAGTGTTATGTCCCTTATTTTTCACATCATCAGAATGTATAATTTACCCATTTTGATGATCCTTGAAACAAACATTCAAACTAGGGATAGAGAATCTTTCATTGGCAGACTTAACAAAGACTAGGATGAAGCAATTTTGTCGGCTGAGAGATGCTGCATTGGCATGCTATTTTTATTAGAACCAAAATAATTAGTAAGAGTCAATAAACACTTTATAATAGTGAAACATCGATATGCCTCGGTTGACGTTATTCTAAATAACTGATAGGTAATATTCTGGTAATCAATCATATCACATCAGTTGATCACCATAAGAGTACTAACATGAAAAATGAAGGCGTAGTCATCCCCCATAGGGCAGTGATATAGAGGTAGTTATGGTTTGTTGGGTCATCCATGAGAGGCCATTTGGGTCGGTCTTATCAATCTCCTTGGATAACGTACGAACGATCGTTTGGGTCTACCCTCCCTCGGTCGGGTCTCATAGACAAAATGCTAAGGGGAAGACATTACGATTATTACAGGCCTGTCGCCCCCATGGACGAAATGTTAGAGGGAAGGCATTACGACCATTACAAGCCTACCGCCCCTGTGGACGGAAAGTCAGAGAAAAGGCATTATGGCCATTATAAGTGATTCTCTCGCCTAAATAGGTATAAAAGCCGACCCTCGATGCTAGCCCAAAGGTCATATCTCTTTGAAAATAACCCCTTTATATGACAAACCACTCCAAAGTTAACTTGAGTGTTCGAGGGGTTGGGTCGGAAAACACCCCTAATAATGACCTTTATGCAGAAACTCATCGATGAGTCAAAAACCACCTCAGCCCTTCTCCTCGACCTCCAACTACGGGTACCTCACCTTAAAGTGGGCCAGAAAGACTTGATACTCGTATTGGTATGAGACCCATCCCAACCTCACTAAGCCATTCTAAAACCTAGCGAACTCCTTGTAGGCAGTGATCATGTTCTTCTCTTGCTCTGGAATACGACTTTGTTTACCTTCCAGCACCTCCTTTGCTTCCCTAGCCTTCACTGCCTCTAGCTCCTGGGAAATATACAGTATCTCATCCTCCATGACATGGTTATTTCTCCGAACCTCCTTCAGTTGTTTGGCAAGCTGGTTAAGTGTTGTTCTACGTTCCCTAGCTTCTTCTCTACATCCTCTAGCTTCTGCTCTACATCTTCCAACCAACTAGCCAACTCTATCGCTTGAGTCTCGGCCTCAGCGACAGCAACCTAGGTTGATCCCTTCTTCAGAGCCTCAACCTCAGCATGGAGATTATCGATCACTAATACTGTTTGTCAATCATGGCACCATAATCTCAAACCCGGTCAATTAGAGCTGTCATGTAGTGATGATGCTGCAAACATGATGCAACTTACCACCACTTCGTCATGGAAGCATGTATAAATTAGGACCTCCAAGGGAGAATAATAGATTTGCTTCTCCATCCTCAAACACAATGATACATGGTAGTACTACTATACAACCACACCCTCGCCTCACACCTTCTGAGCATGCTTGAGGCCTTCCTAGTGGGGCTCTAACGGGGCATCTAAAGGGAGAGTCAAGGAGGTCAGCCATTTGCAGGGCCATGAAGAGCAAGGATTTACCCTTGCATAAGTCCTGCATTGACCACGACCTCACCACCTTCTTTCTCGAGCTCGTCATAGGAACTTGGCCTCTCGCGGGCACTATTGGAGAGCATCCTGGCCCCCAAGGTGAACCCTCAGGCATAGGATCTCGACCTCCTACGGGTGTTGTTGGGGAGTGCATCGACCCCCAAGATGAAAATTTAGGTACATCCCCCTTCTCAAAACATGAGGCCCTTCGCACTAAGGTCTTGTGCTTCTTCCTAGACTACTTGACTTCACCATCATGACCCGAGGGTGGAGCAAGTTGGGTCGTCCCCTTCATGCTTCGTCTTCGGGTAATGTGAGGATAGAGCAAGTTGGGTTGTCCTTTTTAAAGGATGCATCTTCTGAAAACTTAAGGGCTCTCTGAGACTTGGAGTCCATGAAGAGCTCTCACGACCGTGACTTGGTAGTGAGTGCATCCCTCTTGGATTGCCTGCGATCCCAATACTGCACCTTGACCAACTTTGATTTGCATGTCCCCCAACCCCGCCAGTGTACCTTCGACCTAGTTTTAGGGGGCTTCTGCCTCCCTAGTGATGCCCTCGAGGTGAGATTTCGTCTCCTCTTATATCCAATCATTAAGTCATATCTCCAATGGTGGAGGATTTCACATTTTCATATGGTGCCTAACTCATAGCACTATCTCATAGCATTCATCGAGAATTGTCGAGGCGTCGACATCATATCATCTCGCACTCTCTTCACCTCCTGCTTTTGGTTATGCAAGAGATAGAACATATCCTATTAGGTCACCCAAGGAGGCTTCAAGGTGGGAAGTGCCCCTTCAAACAACAAAGGTTGGAGGGAATGCTACTTTTTTTATGAGTGCTAGCCATGAATGGGGATTCACCCTCATATTGTCAGCATGCACTATTGATAACACCCCCCTTTCATGTCAGACGAGGAAACAAATCATGTGCGTTGCTTAAGAGAGATTCTTTCATCCTATGAGGTGGTGAGGAAGATGGATGAGTACTGGTTGGTTGATGAAAGCCTTAGCCCAACCCCTCAGGGTATAACCCGAACCACCCCTTCTTTGCTCTACTTTCATTTTTAATCTTCAACTGTGGCACAAATTATCTCTAGGTATATGCCCGCACCACCTAAAGAAGGGGTCAGGCTCTGTGTTGGGTGTTGTAGAGCCTTGTTCGGTCTCGACAGTGACCCGAGAGTCGTCCAAGGAGTCCTGTATCGACCACAACCTCACCACCTTCTTTCCCAAGCCCATCATAGGATGTTAGTTTCTGTGGATCTACTACCTCCATGAATAAGCCATTAAATTAGCCACATTGGAGTGAGGCTCCAAAATCTACCATGGAGGAAAGGTGGAGGCTTGCCATGGTGGAGAGAAGGTGAAGGTCTGCTATGGAGGAGAAGGGACCAAGACCTTCTATGGCTGAAGCTTGAGATCCACCACGGTAGAGAAGGGAGGAAGGCCTACCACAAAGGAAGCCCAAGTTCCACTATGGTAGAAAAAGGAAGGACCGCTCTGGTGGAAGCCTGAGATCCGCTATGACAGAGAAGGGAAGAAGGTCAACTATAGTAGAAGCTTGAGATCTACTACGATGGAGAAGGAAGAAGGCTTGCTATGATGGAAGTCCGAGATCTACTACGACGGAGAAGGGAAGAAAGCCCGCTACGACGAAAGTTCGAGATATGCTATAGTGAGAAGGGAAGAAGGCTCAATATGGTGGAAGCTTGAGACTCACTATGGTAGAGACACTGGGACAAATGTGCTCGAGGTGTATAAGTAAGGAAATTTTGACTCATGCCAAATCTGGTATGGCGGAGACACTGGGCCAAATGTGCCTGAGTTGTGTGAGTCAGAAAAATTTGACTCACGCCAAATCCACTATAGTAGAGATGCTGGGCCAAACGTGCCTAAGGTGTGTGAGCTAGAAAAATTCAATTCGCTCTAAATCCGCTACGGTAGAGATGTCGAACTAAATGTGCTAAAGGCATATGAGTCAAAAAAATCTCACTTATGCCAAATCCGCTACAGTGGAGATGGGAGACTAAATGTGCCTAAAGTATGTGAGTTAGAAAAATTCGACTAGCACCAAATCCATGATAGTTGAGACATTAGGCCAAATGTGTTCGAGGTGTATGAGTCAAAAAAATATGACTCACATCAAATTCTTTATGATGGATATGTCAGGCCAAATATGCCTAAGGCATGAGTCGAGAAATTTCAACCTATACTAAATCTACTACAATAGAGACGTTGGGTTAAATGTGCCTGAGATGTGAGTCAAGAAAATTTGACCTACGCCAAAACTAATCCACTACGACAGTAGTATAAAGCTAATATGTCCGAGATACTTGAATCTGGAAAGCTTGACCTGCAAGACGAGATCTCGAATGCTCTGTGCCAAATGGGCTGAACAACGTGCTTCAAACCATTCTGCAAGTGCTCTAAAGTGAGAATATTCTAATAATATTCTCACTTTATATTAGATAATAAATATATTATAATATCTTTGGATCTATGCAATAGGAATTGAATCATTATGAGATCATGATAATGAGACCAATTCGCTTATAAACACAGACCCTAAATATTCCTAGTCATAGGTTACTTGAGATGGACATCGAGATAATCAGAGAGACTGGTATTTTATATATCCATCCATATGATGGTGATAGCTGGTCTCATAGTTGCTTGTGTTGGGACACTAGGGATATAGTGCAGGTGATCATTAGAGAATGAGTTCACCGAATGATCCGTTAATGAAATATTGGATGGTTAATAATACCTCATCGTTAGACAACAGTTTCATGGTTTCAATTATGTGTTTGGTCCATGGACTTGAGACACCAATAATACTCTTTATTAGTACTTCACTTTTTGATACTAGACTTATAAGTCTGGAAGTTCTAGATCTAGTATAGTCGGTTATCGAGAGTGTTAGCTAACCTTATGAGAGTAATTGAGTATCAATATAAGATCATTCGCACTCAGTGTAATGAGAGGAATGTCTTGTGTATTCTCGCTCAAGCAAATCACTAGTCATGGTCATTCGGATTGAGAGAGAAATTCTCCGAGAGAATCCGATTAGAGCAAGGCTCGAGTAGATTTTATATGGACTTGATAACATCATGTCTGGTATACAATCTTTGAGATATTAGGTGGATGAGGGACTATAGATATACGGTAACTAAAGGCATACATATTCAATGGATTAGATCCCCCTATACTGTTTAGGGACTATAGCGTAGTGGCATAGTACGTCCATAGTCGATGAGTTGAGTAAATTATTATGGGATGATAATTTACTAAATCATAAGGAGTTGTAAGTTAGAAGAAGTTCTGGCAGGTGTAACTCACGATCAGCTCAGTATTGAGCCTAGAGGATCATACACATATGGTGGATGACGCAACGAATAGATGATTGAATATGTGATATTCAATAAGCCCATATTTTATTGGATCCATTGGATGAGACCTAATAAGAGTTTAGAGTGGATAATTTGATAGTGATCTAATTTTCATTAAGCTAGGGATACTTGGATAGAGATCCAATATCCAATATGTTAAGGTAATTAGATGGAGATCCAATACCCAATAGAGCAGGATCCATTACGGTTAGTAAAGATGACTCTCTATAAAAATTGACTTAGACTCTGACAGGGAGCCTTGCCTTCATGGAAAACTGACCAACTCTCCATTTAGTGAAACTGGATATAAAAATTACCTCAGACTTTGAGATGGCTATGACGCTTCTTGGCGGTATGCTGCACTCCACCGTCGGAAGGTGCGATGAAGGGCCACTCATCCCTCTTGGCTGAAGAGATCCTTGAAAGATGAGGTGTGAACTCCTTGGTTGGACTTTAGTAAGAAGAGGTGTTGTTGGCGATCCGAGGGTGAGTCATTACGCTAGGGTTATAGGTTGAATCAACTAAGAGAGAAGTGCCCCTTTTCTCCAATCTGGGGGGGAGGGGGGGGGAGAGCCTTGGATCATTGAGTAGGTGCCAGTAGAGCCCTGGTTGACGTGGGAGACTTGTGAGGTGAGACCGCATAGGCTCCCCGATCGAAAGACGTTTTATTAGGGAGGACCCGGTTCGGGATGATCGTGTAGGCAGACTAAGATCCTCCTGGTTGTAAGGTTCCTCCTTAAGGGTTGGGTCGTCCGAATGTCTTCGGGCGATTGATGATCCTACATGACAGGCCGACATTGAGGGTTGCCCGGCGTGGCCCCTCCAATGCTTAAAAGTCAACGAAGGGGAGAATACAATAGCGTATGACTGAGTTAATGTGTAGAGAACCCCCTTTCAACGTGAGCTGATGAGTTTCTTTTTATACTTGATCCCTAGACCTTCTTATTGGTTGGCTTGGGATAAGATCAAGTTAATTGTGTGATCATTTTGATATCTGATCTTGATAAGATAGGATAATTATTGATCTCAATAACACAAGACGATCATTATCGGTCGTTGATATGAGATATATTGGAACACACTATGACATTGTTTTGAGACCGATGACTTAAGACCCTGATTAGGTATCCACCTGTATAACAAATAAACTGCCACGAGGTAAAATCATCCCTATCAGTGTCCTTCACGGATCAGAGACCTTCACCTGGTAGCCAAAAAAGCTCCTTCCACTTGTCAATATCTCTAAATAGGATGATCCCTTCACCAACGCTATTCATTTTTCTAACTCGTCTAATATCAATATCAACTCACTCGCCTAATTACAATCTGATCCATGATCTCATCGATTACAGTCATTGGAACTCGATCATAATTAACAATCTTTTAGTCCAGATGTCATCATTTCCATTATTGATATTTATTTTTTGACAAAAATATTACTAATTCATCCGTCTGCAAATGAGCAATCTTTTTGTTCTGAAAATTATGAATATTTCCAATATTAACTTTAGATCATTAAAGGTGTCGTCCGTTCTCACGGGCAGTCGCGACTTCCGTCGCGCTTGTGGTGTCCCTTAACACGGTGTCATGAAGCGGTTTGGGTAGTAGCGGTGTGGCGGAACCGCGGAATCATGTCGCCGCCGCCGAGGTAGGGTTTAGGGGTTTTTTGGGATTTCGATCGAGAATCTCCTCGATCTTCGTCGCGCGACGAGCAGATGTGGAGGTCGCGGTGGAGGAATTGTAGGAGGGGAATCCGGTGGCTATCCTCCGCCACTTCTGCTGCCGTCCGTGGCCATCTGGCTGATGAGGGAGACTGGTCCTACGTCTCAGAATGGTGGAGCGACGGCGGCGATACCGTCTTTCGATCCGTCTCGGATCACGGAAACGGCGTCGTCTCCGTCGTCGCCTACCCTTCGTCCCGACCGGTGCTGACCCTCTCTCTCTCTCTCTCCATAACACCAGACGATAGTTCTTTGTCGCGGTCGTTAAACAATGACTTTTTCCCCTCCTTTTTTCTGATTACACCTTAAAACATAAGTCTTTCCTCAAAAACAGATTCAAATGTAAGACTGTCGATGATCTTCGTATAAGTGTGGTTTGATCAGACAAGTGACTTCATGCACTAGATTCTGTCAAGATGGTTTAAATGACTATTCTGGTTCATATGTATAAGTTGCCATAACTTTTTCGGGTTCTTTTACATTCTTGTGGCATCCCAATTACCTCTGCAATAGAAAATCCAACACAGAGTTTTTTGGATATTGTACTTTGCAAGGTTTGAGTGCTTGTTGTGCTTTTTCTTCATATTCTATGCAAGTTCAAATTTCAAAGTATCATATGCACAAATGAGAATCACCTTCCTTACGTTATAATGATATTGGAATTGGCAGGGATGTTTTGTAGTGTTTATAAAATGTGCAAGGTAAGATGTTAGCTAGCTTAGCAGGTAAAGATCTTGATTGTTTATTGTAAGGTCTTGGACTCAGAATAACGTCTTCGCCACTTATCTTATGCAAAAAAAAAAAATTGCAAGGAAATTATGAAATATACAAGTTTATTGTAGACAATTAAGCTTTACCTGATTGTGTTGAAAGTTATGGAATGTATTTGTATTATTATCTACTTATAATCCTTTAAAACATCATATAATGCATCTTTTCCCCCCTTTTTCTATAAACCTACATTGCTTGAGAAGTCTTGTTTATTGTGTAGCCTGCAGAGCAATTGCCTGCTATAGAAAGATCAATTCAACAAAGGTATGAGAAACTCCATCCAGAATCCGAACATGATGGAAGGCTTAAGATTCTTGGTTATCAGTGGCGTGTACTTCGTTTTAATGAGAATACTCGCCAAAGCACAGCTAAAATTATGACCGCTTACAGAACTTCAGACCCTTCATCGCTATTTCTGATGCAGCAGCCACATTGTTTGGCTGTACCATGTAATTTCCCTAGCTCACTTTCTCATGTTCTTCTGTTAATCACTTCTCTAGAAAATTGATTTCTTATGTTCCGTTGAAGGGCTTTTTTTTTTTCAGTAAAGATTCCAGCCTTAATGTTACAAGCAGTCATACTGTAAGTTGATGTGTTCTTTTGACAGATTTGGAAACTTGGTAGCTTTTAGTTAATTACATTTGTAAGCAATAGCCCTTTGTATCTTTTAGTTCAAATGGTGAACTGGTCAACTTGGCTCAACCGACTCTTTCAACCACATTTGCTTATTAGGAATCATATGTAGCTTTTTGTTTCTTATTTCGTAATAGTTCTTCTAACTGTTAAGATATCCCAAGGGTCATGGTTTGCATTACTGATCCATACCGATATACCAACCAGCTGTCGGTACGATATGTGCCTAGCATACTAGCACATGGTACACTTGGGTGTATCGATGTACCGCCCATACCGATCTTCTGTCGGATTGGTACGTATCACTCGTGCCGAGTGGTATGCTTCGGTACGTCAAACCTTGTCAAGGGTTTCATGTGCCCCTTCTAAATGTAAAACTTAATGGCAGAACAATTATATCGAAAAAAAGTTTCATTTGGCCATTTTCCTTAAACATGAAGTGGGCTTACTGTAATAATTTTGCATACTTTGTCCAATATTTGTCTGATAAAAATGGACAATTTCTTGTTAATCATGATGTAGTTGGAGTTTTTGGATATCTTAACTCGTACATAAGTAAATCAACATAATCATGCAAGATATTTTCTGAAATTTCTGTAAGCTTCTACTCTTAGTTCTTCAGCAAGTTGGATAACTTTCATGATCAAGACTTGTTGATACATTGATTTACTTTTTTGTAATAGGACAAGTCTGTCATAAAGATGAGTACATATGGAGAAATCTATATCTATTTTTAAAAGTTGGTGTTATTATTTTGAGATTTCATTTTTATGCCTTTATTCACTTGACTTATTAGCAGTGTAAGGTATTGGAATAAACCTAAATTGTGCTCATGATGAGGACACTGAACTTGCCCTCTCCACTGCAACACGTTTACAGAAACCTTATGTTGTAATGCAACATATGGACAGACAAAAGAAAACACGAAAGATAAACATGAAAAGGGGTCTGGTTTAGTAAAATTTAATCAATGCCCTCAACTATCTCCCTTGACATTTCTCCTAGATTTTATGTGATCAGCATGATCAACTTTTGATGTCAATAATGTGTTTTCTTGCCAGATCTAAAAAGCATGGTATCAACTGGTTTGACTGCATTGGCTTCTTCCGGTTATGATCTTTCTGGAGCAGTTACAGGGAAAAGAAGCATGAAGATATTATGTGTTGGCCATGGTGGTGGAAGTCTACCATTATTTTTGGCCAGTAAAATTAAAGGTAAATCAATCTTCTTTGCCTGCAGTTTAAATGGTTCTGTCTTGGCTTATCTTTCGTGTTGTTTTTGATGATATTCGATTTTCCATTGGACGGTACTTAGTGAGACTTCACCATTGAAGTTAGGCTGAAATTTGCTTAAGGATCAATTTACCAGCAACATTAAAAGGGTATTATCAGTATCCCTTGGAACTATTTATTGTCCATATGCAAGTAAGGGTAAAAAAATAAAAAGAAGCAACTGAAGTTAAGATTCTTTCCAGCAACATACCATGATGGCAGCAATAGTCAATCTTCTACAATGAACTTGAAATGTTATATATAGCTCTTATAACAGTATGCATTCAGATTTTCTGTTGTTATTTTCAGGTGCTTCTGTCCACATTGTGGAGATAGATCCAGTTGTTGTCATGGCTTCTGTTCAGGCAATGGGCTTCCCTGCCTCTGCTGTAAAAGAAACATCAGATAAGTTATCCTTTGATCAATCTTCTTATGCAGACGAAGTATTGTGGGAACACATGCATGAGCGGCTGTTCCTTCACAGATCAGATGCAGAGGACTTTGTACTCAACAGCCATGACATCTATGATTTGGTGTTCATTGATGCTTATGATGGTGATGATATTTTTCCACACAAGCTGTGGGATCGACAAGGGCCATTCCTTGAATCTCTTCGAAGCAAAGTTCATCCAGTCCATGGTACTGTTGTCGTCAATCTCCATTCTGATTCTGAAGTGTTGAGCATGGATATGAAGGATTACTCTCTGTGCCAAAGCATACTGCCCATGAGTAGGTATATTTCACAGGTCCGCAAGGCTTATGAGGAGCATTTCGGCTTAGCATATTTTTTTTCAGTTCCTTGGCTATGTAATATTACTCTTGTTGCATGCAGTGGAATGGGTTTAGGCATTAATGGCAGAGAATTAGACAAAAATCTCGTTCTAAGTGCTCTTATTTCCAAATGCTTTCTGGTAGAGTTCGTCCTGGGCTTGCCATTTCCTTGTTTACCATACATTAAGAGAGGATTTATGTCGTTAGACTAATTAGCCTGCATGTAAGAATTTTGTTGTTTTTCCTTGCTCCGTAGTTTCAGGGCAGTGAAGTTGAATAGTGAATTCATGTGAATTGCCTAATGACTTATTAGATACGATTATTAGTTCTTGAAAATTTTCCTGAGTTGGACTTGGATCTGTCAATAGATAGTGGATGTGTTGTTGGCAGGGAGTTGATCAGTACTTTGGTTTCCATCCATTGCATTCATGTTGCCTATTCTATCAGTCCACATCAGGCTATACACAACTCGAAACAACAAGTGGATTGCTCAACTTCAAAGCAGAAGAACGGTGATCCATAGAACGAACAAGCAGGTTTGGATTGGTTGGATGGGCTTGCATGGCTACGCATCGTTCGGTTCGGCGGCCTGCGGGGGTGTAGAGGGATCCACCCGGGCGGCGGCGGACTTGAGCTGGAAGCTGGCGAGCTGACGGTGGCCGGGGTCTTCGTTGTGGTAGACGTAGGCGAAGCCGCCGTGCCGGGTGAGGTCCATGCCCTTGAGCTCGTCCTCGCGCGAGATGCGGAGCAAACCAAGCTTGTGAAGGATGAAAAAGAGTGGCCCCATGGTGCAGCTGACCCATCCGATGTTGACCAGTATGGCGATGATGTGCGCACCAAGCAGCCTGCCGCCCCCTCCCATGAAGAGGCCGTAAGGCCGGCCGGGGCGCCCTGGGTACGCCTCGTTCACGTACTTCTCCTTGGCGAAGAGGGCGGTGAAGAGGATCCCCCAGGCGCCGCAGCCGGCGTGGAGTTGCGCCGCCTCGAGGGGGTCGTCGTACTTGAGCTTGGCGGCTAGCGTGTTGAGCCCGATGAGTACCCAGGCGGAGACGAAGCCGCAAACGATGGCGGCCCAGGGGTCGACGACGGCGCACCCGGAGGTGATGGCCGCGAAGCCGCCGAGTAGCCCGTTGCAGACGTCGACCACGTTCCAGTGGCCCGTCTGGAGGCGCTTGCCGAAGAGGGTGGTCAGCGCCGCTGCGCAGCCGGCGAGTGTGGTGGTGACGGCGGTGCGGCCGACGGCGGACCACTGGCCGTTGATGCTCCCGCTGGGGCCGTAGGACTTGAAGATGGTGACGAAGGACCCGGGGTTGAACCCGAACCACCCGAACCACAGGAGGAAGGAGCCGAGCACCACCAGGGAGGCGGAGTGGCCGCGCAGGGCCACGGTGCGGCCTTCGTGGTCGAACCGCCCGATGCGGGGGCCCTCGATGAACGCGCCCCAGAAGCCAGCGATGCCCCCCACCATGTGCACCACGCCGGACCCTGCGAAGTCGATCACCCCGGACTTGAAAAGGAGCGACTGACCGAGATTTCGGCCGGCCGATGCCCATCCATCACCAGACCAGTACCTGCGCATCATCAGATCACAGATGCCTGTCTCATCACCAAACCCACATAATTCGGAACATCTACAAAGAAAGGGCGATAGAAAGTGGATCACCAGTGGGAGAGGACGGGGTAGACGAAACCCGTGAGGAAGGAGGAAAACATAAGGTAGGAGCTGAACTGGGTTCGCTCAGCGATGGATCCGGAGGTGATGCCGGCGGCGGCGATGGCGAAGGCCCACTGGAAGAGGAAGTTGGAGTAGTCGAACCCAGCCTGAGGCACCTCCTCGAGCCCGAAGAACTGCTTACCGATGAAGCCGTTCGACGGGGTGCCGAACGCGAAGGCGAAGCCGAAGAGGTAGTAGAAGATCCCACCCGCCGCCGTATCGAGTACATTGGTGAGCATGATGTTCATGGTGTTCTTGGCACGCACCGACCCGGCGCAGAGCATCGCGAAGCCGAGCTGCATGGCGAACACGAGGTAAGCCGAGAACAGCAGGTAGGTGTTGTCGATGGCGTAGCCGGCATCGACGAACTGGTTGCAGATGTAATCGGCAGCGTCAGTGGCGTTGCCGAGGAGCGGTGCCAGTTGTGATGCGTCGCAAGCCATCTCTAGTTTCAGATTAAGGTGGTGTTCAAGTAAAAGAAGAAGAAGAAGAAGAAGAAGAAGAAGAGTTGGAGAAAGGAAGGAGCAAAGTTTGCGTTATATTGGCTACAAAAGTGTTGGTAAAAGACGAAGAAGAGGAAAAGAGAGAGAGAGAGAGAGAGAGAGAGAGAGAGAGAGAGCGATGCCATTTGTGCTTTGTATTCATCATTCCAAATGTAAGCTAAATATATATTCCCAGAATTAAAATTTTGCACGTATATTATTAAAAACTAATCTTTATTAGCTCCTATAAGTTAATTGTTTATTAGAAATATCAATATAATGTGCAGCATAATCAGATTCGATGGGGTTGGAATCATAGACTTGCAATTTCGACAATTTTGGTTTTGATAATAGAGAAAGAGAGAAAGAGAGAGAGAGAGAGAGAGAAATAAAGATAATAATATAATAATAATATAAAAAATAAAGAAATAATTATCTGATTTATGATTTAAGAAGAATATTTTATAAACGAAGGGGTCGCACTCCTACATATTATCGAAAACATAAGTGTGATCTCACACCGCTCGATGAAAAAAGAATTCAAGTGATTGATTAATCTTCTTCGTTCATTATAATACTTTAATCACTTTTTATAGACCTAAGTAGAAGAATAAAAAGAAAAATATTGAAATCATATCGAATATAGAATAAGTTCTAATAATTCTAACTTGATTTAAAACTGGGATGGCTCCCTTGACAGATGTATTTCTTTAATTCTGGATAGGGATGTTGCAGTAATATAACTAAACAATCGATATAATTATTATATTATATATGTTCTTTAAAACTTTAACATAGATTATCATGAAAGGTTCATTATATAATTTTTTTTTTTGTGTTCGAATCAGTATAATCAAAAGGATAATTTTCAAGTAATAGAGATGCAAAATCTATAATTTTAACAGTCTTAAGAAGTAAAAGATAACTAATATTAATGTCACTATTTATGAGTTAAATTAGAACAGATAAAATAATTAATATTAGTAATACGAGAAGAGGTAGAAAAGAAAGCTAAAAAAAATTTAACAAAAACTAAAATAAAGATATAATATTTTGAACTTAATGTATGACTTTTTACTATCTACAGAAGATTTATACAGCTGACCTCAAATCATGAAGACTTATAATTTTGTTGTTGTTTATTATCGAACACATATATGATTATGAGAGCTCTATATAATGGTGCACCACTAAGTGATTTTGATCTATAAATCTGTATGACCAACATATATTTATCTTTCCACATATGTGTACATAATTGTATAAGATTTTAATTTGTTTTGCAATCATAAATATATAGGAATATCAAAGCATCTTAGAAATGTTTTTACTAATGTAGTTAGGCCAACTCATACCAACAAATAGCTTCAATTATGCAATTAATTGAACAATATTAATGTTTAGCACTTCCTGTGGCCTGGCACCAATTCACCTGAGATCTCCTTCAACACTCAATCTTAAACTAGTTCTTTCTTCCCTTCTTTACTGCAGTAATTAGTGATACTTAATTGACTTGATAACTCTTGTTTCATGACATTGGACATTTCTCAGCTTCTGATAGAACTCAGGAACAGCTGCAATGGTAGTTGATGTTCTTATAGATTTCCATTTGATATGGTCATCTTCTTTATTTTGTCTGAACTCATCAAGTATTTCCATCTTAACAGCAACAAGCATAACATAATGTGTTCAGAACTATTCAGCTTCTACTTGTGTCTTGAAAATTTATGATGCTTTTCTCAACCTCCAACTTTGCTGTTTATTTCCTGAATAATCAGCATTTTTGCTCAAACAATGGATGTTCCTTTCGCAGATTGTGAAGATTGGGTGGTGTTAAGGAAGTAAGATTTTGCCCAATATTAATTATTGTTCCAATTAGGAGTTCAAACTTTGGGTTTGGGTTTTATGAGCTCAGCACTGCATCTCTCAAGCTGATGTTTCTTTTTTCCTTCTTTGTCTGTTGCTTATGTGACATGAACACCATATTATATGTGGGAGATTCAGTGGACAGCAGAACCCCATATCTGTGAAAGGCATTTGATACCAAAGCCATTATTTATTGGCGTTGACAAGAATCTGGAGACAAAGTGCATTCAGTTCTGTTATGTTCTTAGGATCATCATCACCATATTTGCATCATGCTTTCTGCACAACACAGGCCAAGAAAGATGTCAAAGCAAGCTCATGAATGAAGGCAAAGAACTGTGAGGCCACACTTGGAAGCCCACAGACAACTCTATTAAATATATGATACTTGTGTTCGATGAGAAACAGCTGCACGAAATGATAGAGAAATGAAGTAATAAAGAAGAAGACTCGAGGAAGGATGTCATGCAATGCAGTGCAAATCCATGAAAAGAGCAAGGTGTTTTGGCCTTCTTCTTGAATATTTAATGAGCTTTGTTGTCATCGTTGACTTCTAAGCAAAATGCTTGTTAAGCAAATTCTTGAATATTAATTTTCTATCATTAGTTACATGTCTGTGTCGATCGACTGAATCACCTACGAGACGGATTGTTAATTACAGGTGATTCGTCGTCGAGGCGAGACGAATCAACCGATCGAGCCGGCCGGTTCGGCCGTTGCCCTCAAACCGGGTCGATTTAGTTGGAAGAGATCACCCGGAGATCTGTGATTTGTTGGGGGCGCTCGAGTTGGATGGAGGACGACGACCGGTGTTCCTCGAGCAACCCGGGAGGGATCGGGCAGGAGGAGGAAGATGAGGACGGGAAAGTTCTCCGATTCCTCGACTCTTTGGATAGCTATCTTACGCTACTCGATGCCTTGTCTTCCACCCTTCGCCAGGTAAGTCCACCCTTTCGTTGCTCATTTTTTGCTGCTTCTTTAGATTAGAAATCAGGTCGGCTCGATGTCAGTCTTGTTCGACTCTCGCTGATTGTGCAATCATGAATTTTCCGGCTTCGTGTCGGCGCTGAATGAGATTTTCCCGGATCAAAAAAGCAATTTTTAGGGTAAAATGATCTAAAAGTTATTCCTGGTGGGTTTAATGTCCCCCTTCTTCTACTTCTTCTTCTTCTTCTTAAACATGTCCTTGTTCAGTTCAATTGATTTCATGGAAATTAGGGGATAAAAAAGATACATCTTTGAGAGGAAAAAGGAAATTCCATCTGCAGATATAACAAGGACACGGCTATTGCCAATCCCTTTTTTTTGCCCTATCGGCAACGCCC